CCGGTGGCATGATATCAGTGTTACTTTTGGCAGATGGTCATTACTCGTTATGACGAATCGTAGATAAAATAGAACTAAATTAGAAAAAAAATCATTGATTCACCTTAAAAGGAACGCTTTATTTGGAGAGATAATATCTCGTTTTATGTTATATACTAGTACTAGTTGTCCGCCATTAAAAGTAATGACTATAAGTCAGCGTCAAGTGCTCTTAGAACAGATATGACATTCTCATGTACACAACTTTAGCAAAAAACATCTTATATATCTTACGGTTTAGACACTCACTTGTCTTTTAGTCATGTAATGGGTCTTTAGAGTTTTGGATTATTCTGTTCATAAAATGAAGTATTAGAATATTTTGTCATGAGAAATGGTTCCATGTGCCAGCACTTGAAAAAAAATGGTTTAACAAACATGAAAACAAATAGGGGAGGGGGTCAAATATTGAAACCCTTGGCTACTGCCAGATGTCATATCTAGGGGCTACTAACTCAAGACTATGAAAAAGAGTTCCCTAGAGCAAACTGCGTAAGGATATCATGTTCTTATTCCGCCATATTAATTCCACAACGAGGCTCCCCTGGGTTACCGCGAGACTTTGATCTCTCGGTAAGATTTTAGCGATGACCATCATGGTTGATTATCGGATGTACGTTTGTCTTTTTTATATTTTGCGAGATAGAAATACGGTTCTTGTATTGAACAGAATGCGCGAAGATGACAATCGTCTGGTAACAGCGCGTGATTATCTATCATACATATCTAAGAAGTACCACAGGTTTTTGAATATTTATGAGTTTTCATATATATTTCTGAATAAAGAAAATGATAACATGTTGTCTGTTGCTGGACTTTTATATTTATTGCTAATTAATGTCTCAGTTAATGATTTTTATATACCGTAATACGTGTTTAGAAATTATGATTTTTATTGTAGTATTCAATGTATTGTCTAAATGGAAAATGAAGAAATATGTTGGTTTTTACCACGGTTAAAAGTCGGGTTAACTTAAATAAGGGAGTGTAAACATATGCTATATAGTTAACAATGATGCGACGTTTATAACACAGTGTTAATGTCAAAGCAATTTTAACATATATTACAATCTATAACGGCCAAAATTCTGGATATTACGAACAAAATGTTCGCAATAGGCAGATGATCTCATAATAATTATATATTTCTTTCAGCGTATATACTTTAATTGGTAGCATGTCAAATTGTTTGAGTATGAGTATGTGTGAGTTCGATTCTGTAATAATATACATTTATATACAAATGGAATATGCTTATATTGCTTATGATCTTTTATTTTATTTTTCTGATCTTTTAAAGATATCTATCATGGTTATCGTCAGAATACCATGAAAAAAATAACGTCGAGGCTTTACACATCGTTATAAGACTATCAAAGGCCAAGTTGACAAAGGGTATTGAAATCATATGTTATTGTAGATGTTTAAAGGTCCAAATGTTATCATACATCGAAAAGTCGCATGTCTGTGCTTAAAGAAAACACGTTTCAATACGATGTTTGGTTTTGTTATGGTGTTAAAAGTGCTGGATAAATGGAGCCGTTTAGAGACAGCGACTTCAAGTAAAAAATATTTGTGGCTTGTTGACTCCATTTCAGGGCCAAAGGTCAAAAACTGTTAAAACGTACATTTATGTAAACTTTCAATAAATATGCTCTTGCTAAAATGTAAAAAAATAAAAAAGCAGATTTGCACTTCACAATACGTAGCACATGATCGGTTATAAAAAGTTAAACAACAACAAAAATCACCTAATTTATTCTTAGAAGAGCTCTGTAATACACATGTATGTTTTTGTTTCTTTTTAATTGTTTTTGTTTTTATTTGTCATTTGTATTGCTATATATATTAGAAAAAATATGAGATGTGCTGCCTATCATGCGTTTGCTATTACCATTATATTGACGTTGTGTTTGTAAATAATATATTATTATTTTATTGATGATATATAAGCAATGTAGAACAGAACATATATTTTATAAAGATTTGTTCACATTTATATAAAATATATGTTCTATATTGACTACATATTGCAATTACTTCTGCTGGGTAATGATCAAATACAACATTAAAAAATGGATGTTTTGTAAATAGTCCTTTCATATATAGACAAAAAAACAGCAAGAATATAAAAAGTTGTCATTGTTAATGATATGGTTTTGCCATGGTAATTATTCAATTTCACCTTTGTCCTTCGTATTGAATGGTTTTGTAATTGTGTAAATGAGTATATTGTTTGTAATTCTGTTAGAGTTTTTGTTCTATGATGTAATAAGTTCGAACCTACAACATTTTAGATTCTTTTTTTGTTGTTGTTGATGACAAGAAATTTCTAGAAGCTAATGTTAAATATCAAAACATGTACAGTATACATTCATAAACAACAAACATGATTTAATACACTACAGTTATAAAAAGAGAACAGTTTTTAATTTGTTTATTTAGAACTGCATTTACCAATATAGAAATATAATGTATTATTTGTAAGTTGATATCAATAAATAAAGTTTTGTTCTGTTCTGTTCTGCTCCGCTCTACTCTGTTCTACTGTTTTATTCTGTTCTGATTTGCTCTGCTCTACTCTGCTATGCTATTCCCTGCTCTGCTCCGCTCTAGTCTGTTCTACTGGTCTGTTCTGTTCTGTTTTATCTGTTCTGCTCTTTTCTGTTCTGCCCTGCCCTACTATGCTATACTATTCCCTTCGCTGCGCCGCTCAACTATGTTCTGCTCTTCGCTGCTCCGCTTTACTCTGTTCTGTTCTGCTCTTCGCTGCGCTGCGCTGCTCGGGTCTGCTGTTTTGTGCCTTTCTGTGCATTGTTTTACTCTGTTCTGTTCTGTTCTGTACATACAGGCACAATAATTACTACGTACATCCAATTTTCAAACTGAATTGCGCTGTATATATGTAACGACCACCAAAAGACTATCGGAAACCCTCTGGGCTTGTGTATGAGCTAATATTGTCGTAAAACATCGTTGTAAAATCCACTTTACGCTTTTGTTTTTATTACATTTATTTTGTATTTTAGTATCTCTGATTTCCCAGATATATCCGCTACCCTGTTTATTTACGACATTGTGTGCATTTAAAGCGGAATAAAATGTAAAATGGGAGGAATAGGTTCTGATATCTCAATAAGATACTCACATTTTTTGTAGAAAATAAAATAGAAAACTATTCAATTTGTTTAATAACAACCAATCAAATCCTTCCATTACATTTCATTGCTTCACAGCAAGAAGAAATTTACTTTTAAACTTTATTTCAGCAAATTTTTCAAGTTATTTCACTTGAATAAAATAATTTCACTTAAGAGTAATTGTGTTCTGGAGATAACGCTTTAAAGTTATTATAAAGATACAAGTACTGAATAATCACGTACTGTAATAACAGCGTTTTCTTTTCTTATATTTATGTTGATATAATGCACAAAATAAATTACTAAATTACCTAAGATGGCCAAAAGGCTTTAAAGCAACCGTTGGTGGTCCAAATTCAGGGTCAGATCATCCAACAATTTAGTTATATACTTCAAAATAATTAGTATATTCTTGTGTTTTTAAAGAGCTAAAACGCTTCGTCTGAAAAAAAAACTATATATTCATCCCCCCCCCCCCCTATAAAATTAGATATAAAAATAACATTACAACATTTTCAGTTTTAATAACATAAAAAATACAAAATATTTGTTCTTGTTTTTTTCCTAAAGTTGCTCCTTATATGAGAACAACAACAACAATTAAAAAAAACAACAATAAAAAACAACAACAACAAAATTATTTAACTGAACTGGAAGGATACGTAGTTAATTTATCTTTTATAGGGTTTTAGAGGGTTTCTTAAGAATGATAAAGAACGGTCAAAACTGCAATTATAAGAAAATAAATACAAATAACTAAATACATTTTATTCATTAAATCCTTATCATGTCACGCGCCAGTGATACTGTAACATGGGCTTTATAGGAAATAAAAATATTTATTTTTGTATGTTTTGAAGTAAAAGAAATAAATAAACAGTTAATTTTAAAAATGAAATTATCGAATAGCCTCGGGAGAAAACACGAGAGGTTTGACCTTCGATAAAAATTAGTTGATTGTAATAACGGTGTGGGGATGACCAAAGGGTGTAATTTTAATAGCTGATAAATGATAAAATGCACCGGTTTCGTAATTATTTGCAAACGTGAAAGTTCGTAATAAAAAAACTCCCAAAGAATATACAAATAGGACTAGTTTGAACTTCGTTTACATTAAAAAAAATGTATCCAATCATTTTATTCGTATAATATATCTATATTCATATAGATAAACTCATGTATTAAAGGAAAGAAAAAAAATAACCATCAACATTTATTTTGTTTCTTGAAACTAATTTTCTTTCTGCTAGAAACATGTGTTTAAATTATTTTTGTTTGATAAGAAGAAATGACCACAAAGTAAATATCAGAATATTTTTTTTCTTGAATTGTTTGTCGGCAAGTACTTAGTTGATTCTTTAGTACAATAACCATCTATTGTTATGTATGTATTTATTTATTTATTTGGGGTGTAATATATTATATACCATATGAACTTTAACTTTATAAAGAATTTTGTTTATGTATACAGAAAAAATATCAAAGAACAATTACGGTACCTATTGAAAAGTTACATTTAAATTTGCGGCTAAAAATTAATTAAAGAGCTGCAGCAAACACTTTCTTTTTTATTAATAACCAGTGAAATATTGGTCCTTTTTAATATGTTTATAAACTATATGAAACATTTTTCTCTTATGGAGATAAAATGAACACATCACTGCTGTTATTTTCCAATCTTTCTTGACTTTTGCCATTGAAATCCGATTGACTTACAGAATCGCCGTCTGTTACGCTATTGGACAAGCCACTTAACTTCGCCCCGCCTCCTGATTTCGTTAGGACCGCCCTCAATGAAAAAATCTTTTCATGATCAAGGCCGACTAGGAAAATTCCTGTTGGAGAGATGCATATTCTCAATAAAATGTAAGCAGATAGGGAAATTCGCTGTTCAAGCGATTGTGTGTTTATTCTAAATAGTCGGAAATAGTGACCACTATCTAACGTATACTTTTGGACTTCGGACAAGGTGTTTTGGCCGGCTGATCAAAGGATATTGAATAAAGAATAACTTATGAATGTTTACTTTCATACGAAACGAAAATAAGGTGTTTTGAATCGGGGTGCAGGAGGGCTTGAATGCATGTTAATTGCTTTCTTTAAAAAACATGTATAAATAGCATGATATAGGAAAAAAAAAGCGAGTTTAAATCTAGATAACCTTCTGTGGTTCAAGATGCTGCCTTTGATAAGCCTAGTGAAAATTCAACATGTGATTGCAAATATGAAACAACAACAAACATCATAAAACTAAATGAGGTTCCGGTAATTCAAATAGATAAAATATATACTTTATTGATTAATGATAATAGAGTTTTAAAGGATTTTTATTGTCAAATTATTCAAACTGGCGGTGGGAGACGAAAAATCGGAAATGCAGACCTGTGCCGGCTGTGACAGGCCAATATTGGATCGGTTCCTTCTGAATGTATTGGACCGAGCCTGGCACGTGCGTTGTGTGCAATGTTCGGATTGCAACGTGACACTTACTGATAAATGTTTTTCACGAGACGGAAAACTTTACTGTAGAAATGATTTTTTCATGTAAGTTTATATTAATTAATTAATATTTATGATATACAATTATCCTGTCTCCAGTAAAAATTATTTACATTTGTCATCATTGATTACAGTTCCATCATCACAGTCAACAACAATATTACATTCTTTCCAACAATCATCGTCATTTATATCGTTCATAATCATGATCAATACAATTACATTTTTATGTTATTGTAATTATAATATTAACAGTGAAATTACTATTACTGTTGTTCAAACACCATCACCATCTTTATTACTACTACTGTCACGTGACCACCAGTGCTTATTTTGTTAATTGATGAATATGATACATGTTATAATCTAAATTTACTTTTAAAATGTGCTTTAATTAAAGTTTCTTCTATATCTGTGGTTAAATGCAATACAATACACAAAAACTAGATATGACATTTTTTCTTTTCTTTTTTAGCAACATCAATTAAAATTCTATGCATACTTAAAACAACAACATTTAGTGAAAATATATAAAATATTATTTTAGAGAGCTCGAATTCGTATATTATACCAAATCTTCAATATTTGTATATGACAAAATAGACAGAAGTTTATTTATATATTTATTTATGCAAGTTCACGAAGTACTATATCAAATGAAATTAGCACGAAAACTTTTATGTTGTTGACACATGGCACAATAAATATTTTTTTCTAGAGTGTACAATAAAGTAAAATTCAATAGAAATTAATTATTTAAATTAACCAATGATTGATAGAAAATAGCTATGATTTAACAAAATGTTTGTTGTAACATATCGGCAATTATAAATTGATTAATGGATACTATTTATACGCCAAAACGCCAATGACGTAATACTGCCTTTTGTATAGTTGTTTAGGGACGTTTTTTTTATCTAATGCATAGTAGGAGTACTCCTTCATATTGAATAATTAAACAATATATCTTCTCTTTGTAAATAGGAAAAAAATCTAGCGTGTATTCGTAGACAAACCTTTTGAAATGTTTTAAAGAATTTATCATGTATTGCCAGAAAATATTGTTCCTTTTTTATGACAAGAGAAGTAAATCTAACGACTTCGGCCATGTTCACCAAAAACAAATTAGATAAATCACGGGGTCCTTAAAACGTTTGTTTTCTCTTCATTATGTAGTGTGCAAATTTGTCACCAAGCTTCTCAATGATGTCTAAATGAACCTAAATGAAACTAAATAACACGAAAGGAGTCATTAAAAGCCCGCACTACTCACTTAATTGATAAAACATTTATCAAAAGGTCCTCGGTGTGCATCGATTTTTCTCTCTTGTCAGTGACAAGTCTTAACATCGGACCCTTCGTTAATTTTAAATAATTAATGTTCATCTTAAACAACGTATCGATAGCGATATTAGCGAGGCGATACTGGCTTTAATGGGCGAACTCTTCAAATTTTATTGCACAAAAGATAGCTTTCAGTTTTCTTTCTTTCCTGTATTTTTATCGAAGATCGTTGATTCTGTCCATAAATATTTAAAAAGAAATATGTATATTTTTTTATATGCCTATTTTATATTTTATCCTCTATTTGAGTCTTATGATATTGAAGGGTTTGCTTATTTAAAATTCAAATATGAAAAATGATAAAGTACTAAATAACTGTTAATATTGGTAAGATATAAACACAATATTTGCCTAGAAATGTTTGTCATAAATAAAACAACTACTCTAAAAAATAAAGTTATCTATGATATGTGATACATATATAATGATTACACGTATTTAAATATATCTGACCTGATGTATTTATTTTTTGTAAAGAAATACAATGAAAACATATTTAAGCATAAAGTGGTAAGATGTTATTTGAAATGACCATTTACAGATGGTTGACATTTTATACTTTCATTCAGGATGTTAGAATATACAATATGAAAGATCATCACATCAATGATTGGTTGAACACAACTCGTTTATTTTTCATGCTTAATATAATGTTAAACCTTTTGCCTTTTACAGAAAATTTCTTCACATTATAAAGTAGAAGCAGTCACTGCACGTTTAAATGTCTGGTAATTAAATGCATATTTTTAAAAAATACCATTTTAAACAAATACTTACTATAGTTAGGCTTTCACGTATTTAAACTTTATTAATTAATGTTTCTCCAATCTTTGATGGTTGACAAACACGTTACTAACGTGAAACATTTATTATCTTGTTAGATACTGGACACATCAACAGTTTATGTTGAATATCTAATACTCTAGGAACAAAAATAGTTAAAGTTTGTTATATTATCCTTAGTTAGCATTTCAAATAATAATGAAAATAACAAAAATAATGTCCACTCACTTCCCCTCCATATTTAGATCATATGTTTTGAACAATGTATTTTGACAGGATGGTATTTTTTGTGTGTGTGTTTCAAACAGTGTTACATCTACTGCTGCTTCTGTTATGACGATTGTATATGTTCACATGTTTTTACATGTTGTAAACTGTGAATCCCAATTGAATCTTAACATTTAAACTGCTCGAACCAATCAAATGTGATTAGTCCTTTACCACCAGTATAGAGCCAGACCAGCCTGCGAGTCCGTGCAGCCTGACAAGACTCTATACTGAAACACTAGAAGATATATATATTTTTTTGTTTTCTGTTAATTAAAAATTCAAATGGACTTTTTTAGTTTCAAGGCAGAACACGTATAAGGTTTATATAGGGTTAATATCATATCAATTATAACAGTATATTTTATGTCCGATATTATCATGGCATTTTTTTATATAAATAATGTATATATATTACTATAGTTTAAGTAAAAATAGAGTGTTTCTTCATTAATGGGCATATAAATATTTTATTTGTTTATTGAGCAGATTTAAAAATCAAGATTTATATTTCATTTTTAATCTTTTTAAAATTTATTGGCAATTGATTGGATATGATAATAATAATGGACAGTTGGATTAATGTAAATATTAAATAAAAATATAATTTACTGAGAATATTACCTGGATTTTTGCAATTACTGATAGTGACAGATGATGTGTTGATTAAATTTGATATTTCCATTTCTCTTCTATAATAGTTTAATGTAAACTGGAATGTATTTTGAATAGAATTCTTTACAATTAAATAGAGAAAAAATGATGCATCAAAAATCATTTTTGTTTATATATACATTTACTCATAAGTATCTTTGAAATTCAGCAGTGAAATATAGAGTGCATGTTGTTTGTTTTTTGTAATGTATAGTACAATGTATATTTCAATGCCATCTTTAAAATATAAGATAAGATATTTTGGAACAGATGAACGATATTCACAAAAGTTGAATGACTGTTTGTTTGCATATATACATGTATTCACTAATGTCCATTTAGAGCTTCCATAGTTTTGTCATTAATATCTATTTATATCACATTTTGATATGCATAATTGGTTCACAATTGTCTTTTGAAACGACCGAAGGGTAATTAAGCATGCATAAACAGATAAAAAAAATTAAAATCCTTACTTAGATGCTTATTAAACTTTCATGTATTTTTTCTTAGTGTTTGACACGCACGAGTAATTCTCATGGCTTAGTTAGTATTATGACGCCGCTTGGGCATAGACTAATGTATTTCCCACCAAGTATTTCTTCACGCCCAACTTACATTGCTCTTTTGAATACATCGGAGACTCCATTTACATTTTGTCTAATCAATTATTAAAAGTCATTGTGAATGAAACGCCGGTTATAGAGCGTTTTGTCACTACGATTGTGTCTAAATTAAGTTCGAGACATTTTGATTTAAACGGTCAATGGCATCACAATAGCGTTGTTAATATTATTAGCAATATCATCAAAATCATCATCATAGTTATCATCATCACCTTCATTACCATTTTCACCATTATCATCACCACAACTACCACCACCATCACCATCAACACAAACTGTATAACACCACCATCACCATCATCATCACCACCGCCATCATCATCATCATCATTACCATACTAATCATCATCATCATTATCATCATTATTACCACCACAATTACCACCACCACCGACAACAAAATCACTGCAGCAACAATCAAAGTCATCATTTTATTTTATTTTTCATCCTAGATTCTTTTGATAACACTCATTTAATACAAAACATATTTTCACCGTAATATTTAAATAAAAAAACGATAGCAAACGACTAAGATACATTCACTAAAGAGCTTCTCTTTACATACAACAGCTTGCATGTTTGTTGTTGTTTTTTATCTTTCCATTGTGAAATATGAAGTAAGAGTGTAATATTTCGACATATTAACGTGAAATGCTATAAATAGAAGTTGAGAATTATTTTCTCCTCCATTATTTGCATATATCTCATTTTGTTGTTGTTGTTGTTTTTTTTAATCTCTGCTAGTATGTTTTGATATCTTTGCGTTTGTTTTCAGGAGATTTGGGACAAAATGCGCCGGATGTCTACAAGGAATATCACCTAGTGATCTCGTGCGTCGAGCGCGGAACAAAGTATTCCATCTTAAATGTTTCACGTGCATGATGTGTCGCAAGGAACTCTCAACCGGAGAAGAATTGTATATATTAGACGAAAACAAATTCATATGTAAAGAGGATTATTTATCGAGCAAGTTTTCTGGTGAGTAGTTAAATGATTACCTTTAATTAAAACCAACCCTATGCCACCATGACGTCAATATGATTTAAGAGAACTGCCCGAGTGAATGGACTCGAATTTTCAAAATAAAACCACAGTTCTTCGCCGAAATGACGTCATAAACGTAGGTTTTTAAAAAATAAAGGAAATGAAACAGCCTTTTGTCCAAATAGCGTCACTGTTAAATCTATTAAATGTATGTTATTGGTTCATTTAGAAAAGAAGTGTAAGATTTTTTGGTCTGCATTGTGCCATTAATTTTTTTCAGATAGATAAAGCATTGATGTTTCTGTTGCTTATATACAATCTTCTATAGCAATGTCTATTGCTTGAGATATTTAACATAGAGTGCGACATTTACAGGCGATGCGACATTTAACGTTGCCATAACACTTTAATCACATGATCATGATAGGGGACTACTCCCTGCTTCTGTTTTTGAAAAGAATGAAAACTCCCCACCCACTCTGATACTAGAAACTCCCCACCCACTCTGATGTGGTACTCGAGTTCGCCCACACACTTTACCATTTAAAGTTGTGCGTGAAAGGAAGTTACCATGTAAACTTTTTATTTTTTCCCTATACTCGAAATTACACGTGTTCGATATCAATTTTAGCATGAATATATATGAACAGACGACATGTTAGATGCAAACATGTGATCGGACTTGATGACAACATTAGAATAAAGAGATACATATTACAATAGCATCTTTTATTTCAAGTCTGTAACAAATGGAGGTGGGTTGAAGAGGGTAAAATGGTTGATCTGAAATTGGATAATGGTATAAAAGATTTATGTTTCTGGTCTTTTATACGACCTGTTCAACATGCGGAGAAATTGTGCATTGGCAATTAATCATACGTATAAGCGATACACTATTATGTAATATTATCTCGGCTTTTGATACATATACCATTTTGTTATCTTCACGGAATCTTATTTCTCACAGCGCACCGGCTTGCATCGCAAGAGGGACCCACCATTGAGCTGAGATAAGAAATTCACACAAGAAAAAAACATTACATTCAACGAATATTGCAAAATTAAGATTACCGTGTTACACTTGATGAATGAGAATATGCAAATTTTGAAGATAACCGTTAGATAATGCGGTATAGACTAACTAACGGATGGTTCGATGGAAATGCGACCCTTTTACGAATAGATTAAGGAAAGAATAGCTTGGCATAAGACGAAACGACAATTCGTTTATGTTAAAGTTTTTCTATTATTTTTGATTCTGAATACATTTAGGACAGATGAAAATAATTTAAATTCATTAAAAAAAGAACATGACTTAATTTTCCGACGTATTTATCAGCTGGATCTTAGACTATTTCTTGAAACATTGTCAGGTGAAAATTAATGACTGCTCCCCCATGAGTGATATTATAAAAACATGTTCTCAACTAAAAAAGAAAAGCTCGGTGTGTGTGAGTGAAGATGTTATCGGCTATATGAATATGAAAAAAATGTATATATGTCTAAACATGATTGTGCTTAGCAAGCCAAGCTGTACGTGCAAAACTGAAGGTAATTCTAAACAGTTGCAAGATTTTTTCCATGATTCTTTTTAATGATATACTAGACCGGGGTCTTTAATAATTGAATCTGAAAGACCTTGGAAGGATCCATTGAAAGACCAATTTATCAAAAATATAGATCAAAACAAACATCTAGTATAATAAAATATGCAAACATGATCTTTTGTCCATCGTTTCAAAAAATATTTATCTGCAACTAAGCGACCAATCATGTTTCATCTTAGGCATAAGTTGTTTTTTTTTAAATTATGTATGGAACGCCACGTTTGCATAAAGCATATATATAATCTTATCATTTTTCAACTTGTATTGATATATATCCAGCTTAGAAATCGCTTTTGTATGTACAATGTAGATTGTAAAATAGAGAAAAAAAACTGTTATATAGATGCATAAATCATGGTCTTGTCCGGGAAATAAAGGTACACTATGAAAATCAGTAGAAGCACACGTTGACATGTTCCTTCATCAAATATTTCAAGACTCGTAGATCAACATATCATGATAACAATCATAACGCGAGCTAAATTAAATATATGTCGACACGTAGTTTAACACCCAGTTATCACGCAGAATAACATAAAAATCTGGCCACGCCATTTTGAAAATTAAATGAGCGTAGAAATCAGAGATATGCCGAATCAGTATCAAGATAAAAATAAATTGATTTATTGGATATCAGTCTCGGGTTGGCTTGAGAATTGCATGTTGGTATATCTGTCAAATTTAGATCCTTATTTTTATACAGTTTTCTTCCGGCGGTTATTTTATTAGAAATTACAACCTTGATCGAGTGTATCCTGTATTGTTTTAGCTACACAAGAACTTAAAAGAAAGCAGAATGCCTCTAGATTTCTTCTAATTTTCATTAAATGTACTTAAAAGTGAAATATTGTGAAGTATAAAGAAATTAATTAACACATTGCAAATTACACTTGCAACTGACATAAATTACCAAAATAGGCAAACAGCCCTAACTGCGTTAGTAACGCAGTAGAAATATGGAGATAATACTGCAAAATCAGTCCTTAATCCCACATAACATGCAAATTATTACTATAATCTTAAATCTTTTTTACTTTTTTATCTTTAAATAGTACATTTGTCTCAAGTTTATTTTTCTAATATTTGGGCTCACCTGCAGGCATGCAGCCTTTCCTCCCAGATTTATGCTGTTGTGTTGTTTCTACTACACACGCAATGAAGGTGTAGATCTGCCACACGAATATTCTTGTGTTGTGTTTTTTGCGTATTTCTTTTTTAAATTATATGATAAAAACTTGAAACTAGTTTTCTGTTTTGTAAAAAGGTTTTGCCTTGAAGCTGATAATGCAACCTTGATTCAAGACCTCGACAGTTATGTTATATTGAAATTAGTTCACGTCCCTTTTCTATTACACAGATATATTTTTTATTATAATACTGCACGTTTGTAACGTCGCTTTTCATTGGATAATCGTGACGTTTATATAGTTTTATATACACGGTTGCTGTCGATTCATGAAAAAATCTTTGATGTTTGCTGTATTATAAATTCGTTATAAAGATTGTTGACAGGTTATATGGCCGTATATAAACGACTGTTTGCAATATAACCCTCGCCTAGCGGCTCGGGTTATATTTACAAACAACCGTTTATATAGGGCTATATAACCTGTCAACAATCTTTATAACTAATAATATATAAAGAAAAAAAAGGAATATAGAAAAAATATGTACATTCAAGGACTATATTCAAACAGATGGTATAAGTATATAATTGCTTTTAAGATAACGATCAATTTTTCTTTATGTTGCATTTTTTTTTCTTTTTTTTCTTTCAAGGTTTATAAATCAGTTTATGTCGCAATCCGGATAATACTGAATTAAAAAACAACAGCGGTTAAAAAGTCAGATGCTTTTCAAACTCTTACAAACAATTTTTGCTTACATGTATTTGTTTTATTTATTTTTTTTATTTTTCTAATATTAAATTTTTAATTTGAAATATCTACTTCTTGTATGACTGATTTTAATGTTTAAGCAGAAAATATTGCACTATTTCTAAATGTAATGCAGTTCATTTTTCCCTTGATCCAATTCAGTGGTAACAGTGACCTTGTAAATGTACCATGTTTTATCAAAGATTCGATTATATGCAAATGAGGTAGAATTCCGCTAAATCTCGGATAATCTCGCGGCATTAGAAATTTGCAGAAATGTCCTACAAAATGCTCCAGAACCAAGCATTTCCTATTCATGAGGATTAGTGACGAGCCAGCTAAATCTGTTCTAAAGAAGGTAAAATCCGAAGTGTTCCGAAAAAGCTCATAACCATGCTAAAATATTCATCCGCGGAAAAAATAGTTCGGAAAGATACACAAAAATAAAGAAGCATGTCAAAACATTGGAATATAAAGTGAATATGTGTATGGATTCAGTCTGACAATTAAGATGAAAGTAACACTTAACAGTGCAATGCGATGAAACTTTATTATAATTACCTCGTATATTTATATTTCAAACAACATACTCACGCTAAACAGAAAACAGAAAAATCTACCGGTAATAACGATGTTTCCTGTTGTTGTTGTTTTTTTACCACGAAAGACATTTAAAAATAACGCATTTTCAAGCCGCTTCATAATTTAAATATGATAAAATCGCGTCTGTTAAACGATTGGTTGTCTCAAATTCAAGATTCTTCAAATATGATATGTGTATGATGTTTTGAAAATACAACTGTTCCCATGATGCATTCATCCGCTATTCACGTGCATAAGATGATCTCCCATTTATCATACAGTCGTCGATTTTACGAAGTTTAAACGTTTCTCACATAAATACGTTTGTTTCGGCACTTATCTGATTATTCCACTTACAAATATAACGTTTTAAGCACAAGACCGAGCCCCTAAACACATTAACGCTGTTTCAAATAGGCATAATATGATTTTCTTGGAGTTGATGCGATTTGCGGCGAGCTAATTTGATTTGGGGACAAATGTTGCAATAGATCCGAGCGCTTTCGCGGAATATTTGTCTCCGATTGTTCTTTGGTCGTGGGAAAACTAATCCAATAACGAACAATGAAGTAATTTCCAAAGAAAGATGGGGGGAAACAAGTCCTTTTTGCCCGAAACTTTTGTGATCTCATGCGATAAAAGTGTAACAAAATTTGATCGAAATTTGTTAAAATTGCCACAAGGGGGCTTTGAAACTTGTGTTTAATTGTTAATGAAACCTTTACTGTGAAAACGAGTAACCAACTATCACCGAACTTTCTAAATATTTTTTTTTATTTTGCTCTTTATATATTCGGATATTTGCGCAAGACATTTCCTTACGTCCTCAGTATTCTTGAAAACAACATTTAATGCATTTTTTTGTTAAACTGATTAGATTTATGCTGATCTGAATATATGCTGCACGTGCATATATAAATATGAATAG